AAATAATAAATATTCTACAAGGGTCAGGGATTGGCTTGAATACACAAAACCTAAACAGACAAATAGAAACTCATAAACACACAAAAGGATCAAATAAAAAACCTTGGGCTTCATCTAAAATATACAGGAATAGTAACTCTATCGATGGAAAGAAGCAGAGATAAAGAGTATGGACAAACCGGAAACAACATTAGTGACTATCTGATCCTCAGCGCTTATAAGTCGCATAGGTCAAAATACAAACTTTAGACAATCTCACCTCCTATAGTTACAGCGGCAAGGTACTAAGATAGGAGCATGGAAGAGTAAAGGAATGAAAGTAAAAAATTAACAGTTTTGACGAGCAACAAGTAATTTGTAAAGTTATCTGAATACAGCTAAACATAAGGCTGTGCAAGGTCACGTTATAGAGAGGAGTCTGTCTTTCCTTACCGATAATACGATTACAAATATTTGAAAAAAAGTAATAAAAAAATAACAGATGAGGTAATAAAAAGTAGCCGTTTAAATATATTTGCGGTATAAAATTAAAGGCAATGGTTCAAATGCAAGTTCGAACGCTCATGCCAGCAATTTTTATCTAGTCACCTCAAAAGAGTCGAGAAAGGGATATGGTAATCGAAGCTCAGAGGTGCTCCGAATTTCGGGAAACCAGAAACTGCCAAACCAAAAGACATTTTGAAGAAAATGTTATTTGTAATGATAACGCAAGTGATTGCAATGAGTACTAAATAAAACGGCTTTGTGGATAGAATCGAAAACAACGTATTGTACACTACTCTAGCTAGCCATAGGGGAAAAGTGCACGCAGCCATGGCTTTGAGAGATAGAAGCTGCCATCAAAGCCCGAAAAAAATTTTGACTCATTGGGCGACGTGATGCGAGTTTTGGGCACAACGACGACTCGACTATCAATAATGTCACGTGAAATCTGGATCACTGGTTCCAATTCGTCTTGGGGTGCGTACATGAATGGAGTATGTTTAAGATGGAGGATAAGCATGCTCCTACCCGATTTGTTAGGTTCCGACTCTTCCGACTTGTCGAGCAGAAGTAGGTAGTGGGGCTGTTGTAAACGAAACTGACAGATGAAAGCAGAAAGGGAATGAGGGCGAAAAGGTAAATAAAAAAGAGATTCGAGAGTTAAATTGGAATGGGGATGAGATTCAAGGGAGGGAAGTAAAAAGGTAACATTGATGTATGAAGTTATGGCCGTCCTGAAGCAACTTTGTGGCTGATTGAGGATATGAAGACCAAGATGGTGTGGTCTTTTGTGTGGTCGCAGTCTTCTTTCGT